TGTCATCATATGGCATTCTCTATGTTTGTCTCTGTGTCTTCATATGCCTACCTCCTGATAAGGACGCCAGTCATATTGGAGTAAGAGCCCACCCTACTCCAGTATGACCTCATCTTAACTAATTACATCTGCAACAACCCTATGTCCAAATAAGGTCACATTCTGAGGTACTGGGAGATTAGGGCTTTAACATATCTTTTGGGGGACAAAATTTAACTCATAAAAGGAGCCCTAAAGAAAGAGTGGGGTGCAGTGAAGATGGGAATCTGGGTGGGGAATGGAAGACTAGGTAAGAAGGAAGTCAACCTCAGGAAAGTCTAGTAATAGCTAGGAGGGCCCTGGGCTCTAGGAGGTGATTTAGGGGCAGCACTCCAGTCACTGGACAAATCGGTAGTACAGGCCCTTGGAAACAGAGATCAAACCTTGGCAGGAAGGAATGAGAAGACAGAAAATTCGGGTCTTGGAACAAAGTGACTTCCTGGTATAAGAACTGTTGGAGAGGGTTCGAGATGACTTATTTCAACAGTGACTGCAGGTAGGTCTCCAGTAAACTGGACTGAAACACAACTAAAAATAGCTGCAAATGGAGCTACTAGGAGAAATCAAAGGTCATCTCTTGTGAGCTGCATGGCAGGTAGTATAGTTCTGTTTCAGTCTTTGCAGCTACATTTCTGATCAAAGATGGCAAGGGCCTTTACTAGCATCCTGGTCAAAGACAAAGCACAGAAATTAATGGCAGCTGTGGTATGTCTCATGGGCTCTCACACTTCAAGCTCTAATATCTGGTTCTTCAAAACATTTCTCATATGAGACATAAGAAATGAGGAACTGATTCTAATCCCTGGGTCCCAAACCTCCTTAACAAAAGATGTATATTTTCATCAGAAGGATAATCAGTCTTTCCAGCAGATCCAAAATCAGATGTAGAGTAAAAAAAGGCACTTATTCAGCAAGCACAAATTAGCAACTCTTACAGCTTCATGTATGACTTATAGCTGTCTCGGTAATATATGTAAATCCAGACAGTTCCAATTTGAATAATGCTTATAAATGATGTAATTTCTCAATGTGAGCATGATCTGTCAATGTCAGTATCAAGATGAATACAAGTCCTAAGCATTAATACAAACAGAACAAATAACTGTTCAGCTACTGGATTTAATCAGACCCAGGTGATACAACCATCTTAGTACCCTTTTGGGTTCCCATTAGAGCTAGGAACATTTTTTTTCTTAATCCTCAATTAACTATCAATATATTTCAGGATAATTGGAGGGCTGCCATATGAAAGGTTCGACATACACCCTGAAACCAGGCATGGGAGCTCAGTGCTTCTTTTTAAATAGATGAGAAAACCCTGACACTGATCCTGAGGATGTGGGGGGTGAGGTAGAGCTGGGGGTTGGCAATGCTTGGAGTCTGTCAAAAGAAGTTGGAATTGAGTCAGACCAGTGGGCCAATGCTTGAGCAAATGCTAGTCCAAAATATACAGTGTAAGCATGTGACTTCAAACAGACTCTCAAAAAAGTAAGTTGTATTTTCCCACTGGAACATGTATACAATGTCAGGACTTGGCACTAAGTACATTACATATATGATGAACAATATTCTAAGAATAAAGATGCATGACAGTGTAAGCATGTGACTTCAAACAGACTCTCAAAAAAGTAAGTTGTATTTTCCCACTGGACCATGTATACAATGTCAGGACTTGGCACTAAGTACATTACATATATGATGAACAATATTCTAAGAATAAAGATGCATGAACAAATCTTTATAATAAATAAAAATTCTAAATACTTCTTCAAATCATGGTATGATAGTCAATTTTGTGTCAACTCGGCTAGGCTATAGTGCCCAGTTGCTTGGTCAAACCCTAGTCCAGATGTTGCTGTGAAGGTACATTTTAGATGTGATTAACATTTACATCAGTCGAGTTTGAGAAAAGCAGATTACTCAACATAATGTGGGTGGGCCTCATCCAATCAGTCAAAGGCCTGAAAAGAAAAGACAGGTTCCTCAAGGAGGAAGGAATTCTGCCTCCCCACTGCCTTCAGACTCAAGACTGCAACCTTAATGCTTCTCTGGGTCTCCAGCCTGCCAGCCCACCCTGCAGATTTCAGGCTTGCCAGCATCCACATCTCGTAAGCCAATTCCTTAAAATAAAATCTCTCTCTCTGTACATCCTGTTGGTTTCTAATATACAAGGATTATAAAGGCTTGGTTGTGTCTTCATCCCACATTTAGTCCAACATTCCTCTATGGAATTCTATTGGCCTGGGACAATTCTTTGTTGTGTGGGACTGTCCCACTCATTGAAGAACATTTAACATCCGGGTCCCACCCCCATTAAATATTATTATTACCCTCCTCCCAGGCCATTATAACAACCAAAAACACTCCTACATATTCCCAAACTATCTCTAGGAAACTGACTGGTACTTGCCCAGGTGAGAATCATTGATCTCATGCAACCTACACATTTTATAGGCGAAGAGACTGAGATGAGGAAATGTGATTTTTTTTTTCAATATTAACTAGTAGCAAAATGGTGGTGAGAATCCAGGTTTTTAGATTCCTAGTTGAGAACATTCCTAACTCTCTTATAAATCTTATGGAAGAAGACTAAATGTATTTATTTATACATTGAATGTATAAAAGCCCTCAACATGTTATAAATTGAACATTTAGCACCTAAAATTTACAAGTCTGCTTTTCATATTTGTGTGGCATCTAAAGGTAGTATGCCAATCATTAGTTTGGTTCTTCCAGTGCCCTCTCTTTGATGGGGAATAATGTCCTCCTCTGGGTTAGCTAATTTAACCACATGGTTCCAGTAAAAGCTTATGAGATTCTGCCCGCTCTGGCTGCAGTTGGTTTGAACGTGTACTGTGACCCAGGCTGATCAATCAAAATCCTCACCTGTTATTTTTCAAAATGCAACTAAGAGAGTCAATAGTTCCCTCCATGGAAACAATAGGATGTGATGCTCAGGAGTTGTTGGTGGTTGTGTTTTCCACCATGTAGTGAAAGAAAGTGAGGCCACAACAGAGAGAGAAGCAGACATGAGAAATAAAAAGAGCAGACTCCCTGCAGGGATCTGGGCCCTGGTTCCAGTCATTGCAGAGACTGAGCTGCTCCTTACGCTCCTCACGGTTTAGCTACTTCCTGTGATTATATGAGATATCAGTTTACCCTTTTATCCTTTGAACAAATCCAAATTTCCTTTGGTCTAAACTAATTTGAATTGTTTCTATCACTCACAACTAAAAGATTCTTTTCTTTTTTCCAGAAAATGACTTATTGAAGTTTTTTATAATGATGCAATTCAGAAACACAGTAATAGTAATACCTGGGTTTGACGGCATAAACTCCAAGTTCCCACCAAGGGCATATAATCTTGAAGGAATTAAGAAAATGTGGCTTTAGTAGGGTTGAACTGTAGCTACATGATAATTTTCATCACCATGATCAGAATCATCTCGGGTTTTTGTTTGGA